AGAAAAGTGGCATTTTTGGCACCCTGTGCAAGAGCCCTGTCGCTTAAGGTGTTATCAAACCTAGGAATCGGCATTCATTATATCTGGTCTCCACTGTACACAGAACATGGAAATGCAATTATCTTAGTAAATATAAACTGCTAAATACATTTTCTAAGCAGTATATAGCAGTCTTGTGACTTCTATCAGTGTCCAGCAGAGCACTGGTTAAAGCTTGTAGGAGAAGTTTTCATTTTCCCCTGATTGTCCTATGAGGCTGCATAACCCCTGAACCTCTGTCAGGACAGTGTTGATTGGCCCTGTGCTAATCACATGCACACTCCGAAGAAAAGAAAAAACTATTTTCTAGCAATACACACAAAAATGAGCATGTGCAGCTTGCCCCCAAGGCTTTGTTCCATCATAGATGGATTGGGGAGAGTAGAAGAAGGGGAGGATCAGAAAAGACAGGATCAAACAGCCTTTTTACACAATGCAGAGGGTTAACCCCTTAGGTTCCACAGTGAGTATAACAAGCATGCTTTACTACATATACAGACTGATTTTACTGTTGTGGGTTTAATAAAATTTTAACACTAACATTTATGAATTTGTGTTATTTAGCACATAATGGGGGACATTCATGAAAACCATTTTATCATCTTACATTTCTAATCTGTCACAAATTGCAGAAGACAAATAAGTCCCTAGCATACATTATAAGGGTTCATGAACACGGCCATCGGAGGGCCATACAGCATGCAATCGCATACAGAGCCTGTGTAAAATCTACCCCGGGAGCCATAGCTGCTGTACACCGACACCCATAGAAAGCAATTTCAGGATGCGGCTTTACAGTACTGTACAGCCTTGAAAACGGGGTGTCTATGTCCACGGTTGTATGTCCATGTGTGCTTCCTTGCACAAGTACCAGCGTATACCCGCGTACAGCCGCATCCTGTAATTGCATTGTCTTTAATATATGTCCTGCAATGAGCATTTCTAGGTAAAGGGCAAGTATTTTTTTTTTACATATTTAATAAAGCAAAGGATTGGGAATATTTAACCCGTTCATGGCTGGGGGTCATTTTGTGACTGTAGGGCTCTCTTTGTAGCTATGCTCACATTTCCATACCTGTATTAATGCAATGATGAAAGTTCTGTACTAGGTCTACTCTGCCGTACACACAGGGCCTGCATTCTGGAACCTCATTCCTGAACAGACAGGGCCCTCAATGCCGGTACAGCATTTAGCCTACTGCATTTCCAGCAGCAGCAGCCTGCCATAGGCATTGACAGGCTGCCAGCAGCAGTGCTTGACGCTACACTGACCCTCCAGGGGTACATTAAAACACCAGGAGGGGTGTACTGCAGTTGGACAGCCCCATGTGCAAAGGGCCTCAGAATTCTAAGGGCCGGTTCACACCATAGAAACATTGTCCAGATGCATTTACACATATGCATTTTTGACGCGTTCCGGTGCGTTTTTGATGCTTTCCGGTAATTTTTTCCCCTCTATTTTTCTTCAACTTAAACAGGGACATGTGCGTTCCAGTGCATTTTTTTTTGTGCGTTCCAGTGCATTTTTGGTGTGTTTCAATGCATTTTTTATGCGTTTTACCACGTTTCAGTACAGTTCTGTGCAGGAAAAATGCAACCTGTTTTACCTTTTTTTTCCTGCAACCAGAACACACTGGAACTGCAAGCACTGATGTGAACTATGTCACTGACAACCATGTAACCTTTCTGTGTGTTTTGGATACAAAAAAAAAAAGCACACACACTGAAACGCATGTAGTGTGAACTGACCACAATGCATAAAAACCTATCAGCACTATATTTTTCAAACCAAGGGGCACTGCAATGCACGCATGAGCACTAATGTGCGCACCACCATGTACGCAGTCTAGCATTTTGGTTCCCTCTGCCACTTGAAGTGTTACTAAACCCAGGACCCTGCATTCACTATATCTGGTCTCCCACGGTACACAGAACAGGGAAATGAAATTATTTTAGTAAATATAAACTGCTAAATACCTTTTCACATCAGCAGTTAGAGCAGTCTTGTGGCTTCCATCAGTGACCAGAAGAGCACGTGTTAAAGCTTGTAGGAGGAGTTTTCTTTCTGCTCTAGGAGGATGCAGAACCCCTGACCTCTGTCTGGACAGTGTTGATTGGCCCTGTGCTGATCACATGCACTCCCCCAAGAAAAAAAAAAAAAACCTCTCTAGCCATACACACCAAACTGAGCATGTACAAAATGCCTACGGTTCAGTCTATCTTATCAGGAGATAAAAGGTGGTTGTTTGAAAAAGGGGAGGAGCAGAGAAGAAAGGATCAATGGGCCTTTTTACACAATGCAGAGGATTAACCCCTTAGGTTCCACTGTGAGTATAACAAGCATGCTTTAATGCATATACAGACTGATTTTACTGTTGTGGGTTTAGTAACACATTAAGCTTGCCATACACTGTGTGAAATTCAGCTGCTTCCTGATGAACCATCCGAAATTCGCTTTGTGGGCCTGTCGCCCTCCCCGCCCGAGATCCTTCAATTGAAAAATCAAAGTAGTCAGGCGGAAATTTGTCAGCCAATCAGCGGGTGCATCCAATCAAATACAGCTATTGAGGTTTAAGGTAAAGAAAAAGCTTTTACTTTTACATTTCATGTTGTTGTTGAGCCTGGGTTCACACATATGCGGTGCGGCACATCGAATGTGATTCGCACAGGAACCGCACCGCATTCCTGTGCAAATGACATGCGATTTCTGTGTGGTGTGATCTGAGCCATATAAAATAGTGCAGGACCCTATTTTTTGTCCATACCAGAATCGGATTGCATGGGTATTCACATCCATGCGATCCGATTCTGCACATCGCAGCACGTTTTGCAAACCAATTTTGGGGTGTTGTTAACTTAACATACACACCTGCAGCGGGGTGCGATTATGATGCGGTGTGGAAAACGCACAGAAACTGGTGTGAATTCCCCATCACATCAGTGTGAACCCAGGCTAAAGCATATTCCCCAGGTATAGATTTACAGGGTAGCCCTCTAGTGGCTATGTATATGTCACTGCATGTCATCAATAATTTCACAGGTGTCAAACACAAGGCCCGCGGGCCGAATCCAGCGCTCCAAGCCATTTCATGTGGCCCTTGCACCTCTCCTGCAGGTACCCCATTGTCTCTGCCCCCACCTTGTCTCAGCAGTCGGCAGAAGAGAGGAGGACAGAACTCCTCTGCCAAATCCTGCACCTCTCAGTGTAGCTGCAGCACCCCCTCATCTCTGCCTCCCCTGGTCTCAGCATTTAGCAGACTCTGGTAACTGACTCCACTCCTCCTCTAGTCCTCCTCCAGACCCTACACTTTCTGCTTTCCAGCTCTGTCCTCAAATGGGGTGCACGGTGATGTTAGGGAGGGTGTGGGATTCTTGACATCTGATGTAATAGGGGTGAGGTGCTCTGGACATCTAGTCTTACAGATACAACCAGCCCTTTGAGGGCAATCATAATGTTGATACAGCCTGCAATGCAATGTAAAAAGAAAATCCTGCAATCTTTAAAGAAAAAACAGGGAAACTTGCAGATTTAGGAAATTTAAGCCTATATTCTGACTCACTAATTTGTCTTTTTTCTGTTGTTGTGTTGAACGGTATCAGATTTGACTTATGCTGGCATCTATTGGCAGTTTTGGGCCACCACAACTTGTTTACTTACGTGATTTGGTTTCACCTTTTGTCCTCCCTCCTGTCTAGTGCAGTGTTTCTCAACCTTTTTTCAGTCAAGGCACCCTTTAAAGTTATGGGCAGTCTTGAGGGACCCCCATTCTAAAATGTAAAAAACTATTCTAATAGTTCTACATAATGCGTCAACATCCACACACGTAGAACACCCAACGTTAGGTGATTTAGTCTTCCAAAGCAAATATGCTTTTGCCCATTGGTACTGACTAGTATTCCAATGTTTCTCTTCTCCCTAAGTTTTTCTCCATTAATCAGCTAATGTGACCCCAGCGGTGACAGAGAGGGTCAAGGGAGAGGCAAACAAGGATGCTGTGCAAACGACCGACATCCTCCTTATCAACTGATGACATAGTTGGTTGTTGGGATGCCAGTGCCTAGAAGGTCGTAATGGTGCCACCCTGGCTTGCACAAAATTTTGGGGCAATTTTTAGGCATTTTGCCAAGGCACCCCTAAAAAGACTTCAAGGCACCCTGGTTGGAAAAGTCCTAGTTAGACACTCCCAGTTCACTCTCTGTTTCCTCCGTGTTCTTTCAATACTTCAAAAGACTGCAAAGCATTCTCTTTACTGCAATTAGATAAAGTAAAATTGTGTTGGATTCAACATCTGTGTCTTATTGAAGAGTTAAGCTGCCTGTGGATGGTGTCAAGTCAGCAGTAGTCCATAATGTCTGCACAGACTGGGTCTAAGAAGGTATGTCAATACATAAAGTGTCATATTAAACAGAACTGCCTACCTTTTTTTTAATTTATCATTCAGCCTGGAAGAACCATAGTTTAAAAAGTCTGGTTTTGGACAAAGACTAAGGGTCCATTTAGATCTGTATGCTGCAGTAATTTAGGGAAATTTGAAAGCTATCCCTTGATGTGGGGCTGCACCCGCACTGCAAGAGTTAATTGCTTGTTTATTCTAGGGGAGAGTTTTTGAACTTTAAATTACTTGATCCTCTGCTCCCCTGACTAGTGGCACTCCCCTATGCTCTAGTGGTGGACTGTCCCTCATTGTCATCACTTCCAATGCAGGGCTATGGACTCTATATTGGCCTTGATAAGGTCAGGACCTTAAATTGCTGGACCGTGGGAGAAAAGACACTGTGGGGACTAGTCTAGCAGCACGGAGAAACAGAGGAATGGTTAAGTAAATCTACTTTAACAAGTTCCCTAGAACTAAATGAACAATTAGCCCTTGCAGTGAAGGTGCAGCCACACTGAAGGAGATCATTTTTCATTTTCCCAGAGTTGGACTTTAAGGTGACTGTTTTTGTATGTGACATTTATATAAATACACCCCAATGCACCTAGGCTGTACAGCACAAAGTATTTTGTTGTTCTGCAATACACAAATGTGAACCCTCTCTGTGTTATGGTGTGCTGCATTCAGGGGTGGACTGACAACTCATAGGGGATCATGGGGCCCCTGTGTCCTTGCCCAAACTCAAAAAAGCCTATGAAAAAGGTACCAGGGGCATCTCATGGGGCCCCCTACTGACCCTGGGCCCTCGGCTAGTGCCCGAGTTTCCAAATGGTCAGTCCGCCCCTGGCTGCATTGTATAACATGCAGGTCCACTAAATGGATTGGTGGTGATCAATTTAAAATGAATGACTTGCCTTATTGCAAAGCCTATTAAAAATGTGTAATAACTCACTAAAAAGTACCGTTGATCAGTCCGAATGGCACTATTAGTGACCCTGAAAAATCTCAGTCTGGCACTGTGGGCTGTCATACATGATGTGCCGGGTTGTTTCTCAGTCCCTGTCTGGCACCGCCAGCATCCACAAGCCCAAAATTACCGTGGAGTTGCTTCTAATTCACTCAGTGGAGGTCAACTGCAAATTCCTCAGTGCAAAGTGTGTTCTAACTATGCAAAAATGTTCCCTATTTAATCAATGTGCATGGATGTTACGTGTGAGGGGCGGAGGGCAGCTTTGCCAGTTGCTGCCCTGGTGCACTTGTAAATCTTATTTTGTTCATTCAGAAATGTAGATTGGATTTTTAATTCTGCATAGTTAATGGCTGGGGTCTATGTCTGCAATTTGCTCCGTGCATCGGTCCAGCGCGGATGTACAGTTGGAGACCCATACAGGCCTGTGCAGCCTGCCTATCATTAGCTGCACCTGCACCGGACATTTGTACACCCCTTGTGGGTACATGCAGTGTTCGCATGGGTGTACGGATCAGTACATCTGTGTGAATGAGGCCTAAGTCTAACGCATGTTTTCCGCAAAAACGCACAGCAGTCCATTTAACATGATTTCCTATGGGACAGGTTCACATCTCCGCATTTGCACCTGGTGCGTTTTTTGGAAAGGGTCAGGGACTTTTTTAAACGCAAAACTCTGCGAGAGGTCACGATTCATGTGATCACTGATTGGCCAATGATTGGTCACTTCTGACATCATTGCTTACTATGTGTGAAATCTGTGAATGATCACAGAGGTCACATGGTACAAGGCTATTCACAACAGCCTTGTACAATGTGACAAGCTGTGACCAATCACAGCTCACACAGTATTTCTCAATGGCTGCAAGAATGCAGCCAGAGAGAAGGAGAAATGATTGCTTTTACAGCCTTTATGGGTGTAAAGCAATCAGTGTAAAAAAAAAAAATCTTCATCACCCCCCACAAGTACTGTACTGCTAGGGTGACAGTATGTTAAAAAAAAATAAATAATAATATATTAAAAAAAAATGTAAAAAAAATTTTTGGGAAATTATTATTTTTGGTTATAAACTAATCTTGTTTTTTTTTTTTACTAAAAAGATAACTGAATACATTTTGGCCAAGATTTATGTAGAAAGATTATTTGCAAAATGTTATAAGAAAAACACTTTTTTTTTTAAATTTTGGACTTTTTTATTTATATGAATAAATACCACCAAAATAAAGTTGTATCTGTCTCAAAAAAATGCTAAAAAATACATATGGGTATTTGTATTTACCCAGTCAGTGTTGCATGACTGTGCAATTGTCATTCAAAGTGTGATAGCACTGAAAGTTGAAAATTGGCCTGGGCAGGAAGGGGGTGAAAGTGCCCGGACTTGAGGTGGTTAAACGCCCAATTAAACTTTCAGTTAAAATCAAGTAAACACATTCCTAGTGCATCAAAACAAAAAGGTGGGCAAAATCTAACCTTTCTTTTTCTTTATAAAGGAGCCAAAGCTTGAGTAGAAAAGCTTGTCCCCTGCCAGCATGGTGCATAGAAGGATCCCTTCTCTCTGTGTGGAAGCAGGGGTCTCTCTGCAGAGGTCTTACACACCCTCTACAAATAGAAAAGCTTATAGGCTTTCATGGAAAGCAGTAGCTTTGACTCATTATGAGGGTGTGTCAGACCTCTGTGGAGAGATCACTGCTACAACAGATGCAAGGATCCCTTCTCTGCATCATGCTGGCAGGGGACAGGCTTCTCTACTCAAGCTTTCTAAAGAAAACAATCTTCAAAACCTTGCACACTTTGATGCACGTTGAATGTGTTTAGCAGATTTAGTCTCCATGCACACTGGGAGTTTTAATATCGCTGGTAGCGTTAGCTGCGTAAAGTCACGTTAAAAATGTGAGTTTTTCAGCAATTTTGCATTAGCGTTTAGCTGCGTTTTGTCCATTTTTGCAGTTTTAGTGTTTTTCAGCATTTTTACCCCCCATTCACAATTTTTTTTTGCTAAAAAAAAGTCCAAAAACGCTGGTTTGGCACGGTTTACCGCGCTTTACAGCATTAGAGCGTATTTACAGCTGAAAAACTCCTCTAGAAACCCACTAGTTCTGTTTTTTTTTCCAGCCAAAAAACGCCCCTGCCTGCATGGTCACATAGGATAACATGCTGGGGAGTTTACTGGCTGTAGAAAAAAAAACGCCAAAAGCTGTAAACAGCAGTTGTAAAAACGTCCAGTGTGCATGAGGACTTAAACTGACAGTTCAACTATTCTCAAAGAGCACAGGATGAAGGTATTTTGATATATAAACAGTTGGCACTATAAAAATCCTGTATAATAATATTACTAATGTACAAAATAGACAGATAGGAATGATAACCCAACCAAACTTCTCCCAAAATTAACATTTAACCACTTGACCTCCAGAGGATTTACCCCCCTTAATGACCAGGCCTTTTTTTATAGGGGTCAAGTTTATTATTCAGGGAAAGGGTTAACTGTGTGAGGGGAGTGTTTTACTAGGGGGCGGGGGTGTATACTGCAGGAAACACCGCTGATCGGGAGAGAGAAACTCTTCTGTCCCGATCAGCGTGTCCTGGAGCTGTCAGGGAACCGACAGAAAGCACAGCTACTGTAGCTGTGCTCTCTGTCAGCGATTGCCGCCGATCGCCAGGACATAGCCGGTAACGACTGGCTGTGACCCGGCGACTGACATCCGCGGCTGTGATCGGCGGGACAGGTAGGGCGGCGGCGCACCTCGCGCGCCCCCTACCTGTTTACAAAACACACACGTTTTAAAACGTGCTTTTGCCCAGCCGTGCCGCCCTGCCGCCGTATTTATACAGTGCTGGGCGGCATGTGGTTAAAGTATTACTAAACTCATGACCCTGCATTCACTTTATCTGGTCTCCCATGGTACACGCAACATGGAAATGCACGTGTTTTAGTAAATATAAACTGCTAAATACCTTTTCTCATCAGCAGTATATAGCAGTCTTGTGACTTCTATCAGTATCTGGCCAAGCACTGGTTAAAGCTTGTAGGAGGAGTTTTCATTCTGCTCTGACTGTCCTGTGAGCCTGTATAACCCCTGACCATCTGTCTGGACAGTGCTGATTGGCCCTGTGCTAATCACATGAACCCTCCCAAAGAAAAAAAAAAACCTCTCTAGCAATACACACCATACTGAGCATGTGCAGAGTGACTCCTAGAGCTCTGTACTATCAGCAGATGTATTGGGGACAATAGACAAAGAGGAGGATCAGAGAAGACAGGATCAAACAGCCTTTTTGCACAATATGGAGGATTAACCCTTTAGGTTGCACAATGCGTATAACAAGCAACTAATGCAGCCATCACATCTAATTACTGGTATACTGTAGTATATTACAGTTTTGTTTTTTGGGTTTGGACAAACTTCCCATTTTGAGCAGTCACTGCTGGGCTAAGTCGCCTACCAGGTTTTTAGACCTTTTGGAAACTCCAAGTTAGCTGTACAGTATTTATTATGTGGATTGTAGCAAACTTTATTGCATTTATTAGAGCTGACCATTCATGGATTGAAGCTCGGCCGGTTCATCAGGGAGCAGTCGAGATTCGAACCATGTATGGGCAGGCTGATTACACCCAAGTTAATCCAGCAACCCCAAGCCCCACAGCCCCCCCTGCCAGCAAAACACAATAGCACTGTGGAGGTCATTCCTCCATCACTGACTGTGTTGATGGGAATCAAGCGATTTTCTTTCCTTCTACCTGTAGTGGAAGGAAAAAAAATCGAGTAATCTATGGGCTGCTTTAACTGCTGTCATCACTAAAATGCTGATGTACATCTTGCCTGCACTTTCCAAGGCTGATTTCACATAGAATAGTTTCTGAAGTATTTTTGCATTTAAAAAAGCTCCTAAAAAGCTCAAGAAAAATGCTTCCCTATGTATGTGAATGTATATCTATGTATGTTTTCACACTGAAGCATTGCGCTTGCAGCGTGGTGTAAAAACTCCTGCTTGCAGCATCTTTGAGGCATGGTTGGTAAGTTAAAAAAACACTCCAAAAACGCCTCTTCCCATTGAAAGCATTGGAAAACGCATGAAAAACACCTGAAAAGTGCCTAAAAAATGCCTCTGGGGAGCGTTTTTGGTTCAGTTTTTAAGTCACATGTCCTTTATAAACACTCAAAAAGCACGGCAAAAACACAATAGAAACACCTAGGTGTCTTTGCGGTGGATCAGTGTGAAAGTAACCTTAGTGGGGGGCTCTTCTGTCCTTGTAACCACCTATCAGTCTCAGTGTCACAAAGATGTACCCCTACACTGAACACTCCGATTGCAGGGGGCTCTTTACTGAATCATTTCTTAGTTCTGGTGACTTGCGCTGTAAGTAATCCTATACCCAGTAGACCAGCATCAGGGACCAGATGATTCAGTGAAGACTAAATGGACCAGAATGGGGAGATTAGATGAACAGATAGCAAACTCCAAACTCAGGAATGAAGTCAGCACTCCAGAGACGACCCAGGAGGTAATCTGGCTGTGAATCATCCGGGTTTCATGGCGCAGAATGTAAACTCAGAAATAGAGATAAGACTTTGAAAGCTGTGTAGAGATGATGGGACAATGGGGGTTTTTTACTAAAACTTGAGAGCGCAAAATCTGGTGTCGCTGTGCATGGCAGCCAATCAGCTTCTAACCTCAGCTTGTTCAATTA